TTTCCACACTCACGGAACAGGAGCAGCTCTCTCAGAATCAGTGCTGCGGGCTGACACGGGGAGATCGCCCTAACTCAGGGGGAAAGAAAGGTCAGGCTGTGCTCCGTGAGTGTGGGGCTTGGGGTTGGGGTCCTATTTTTGCAGAGGGAAGAGGACTGGATGAGTACATCCCTAACTGGGGGCGTGTGCGTTGGGAGCCTGATACTCTTGTCCCTGCCCACGTATCATTCCCCTCATAGGGGCTCTATGCACCTCGCATGTGCGTGCCAGGTACAGGGACACACTTTGCATGTGTCATCTTGATTTGCTGCTCTAAAATCCCATTGGACAACGACCACAGTCTCCACTCTACAGGTGAGTAAACTGAGGCTTAATGAGGTTGAGAAGCTGTCACATGACGATAGAGAGTCCGTGATGAAAACCCTAGTCACGGGGCCAGGCCTACACTGCCACCCTCCAAGTGGCCTTGATTTCCACGCCTACCCGAAATGCCCCTTGCCACAGGCTAGGGACTGCTGCCCTGTGCACTCCAGCCACGTGATGTGGCAAGGGGACAGGGCAAGCCTGTCCTCTATGGGAACGGGGGACAGGGAAACAGCTCGCCTAGCTCCAGAACAAGGTGGCCTCCCTCCCCCTCCCTCCCTCCTTCTCTTTTTCCCTCCCTCCCTCCTTTCCTCCCTCCCTCTCTCCCTACTTCCCTCCCCTCCTTTGCTGACCCTCCATTCTGATGCATAAGAACCACTTCTGAGGTGCAGGAGGTGCTGTGTGCGGAAGCTGTCACTCCCAGGGCCACACCTGCTGTCTGCTTGCTGGATGAGAGAACATCGGCCCTGCATACCCTTCAGAGGAGCCACATCTCATGATTTTGCCAGTAGAAAGAGACTCTTCTTGCCCCAGGAGGACCTCGCATAACCCCCAAATCACCAGCACGGAGCGCCCTTCTGTCATTACACTGATCCCACTCACTGGCATTCTCCTTCCATTCATGAAGGGCAGCTAGCAGAAAGAGGGCACAGATGCCACCCTGCAAAGTGACAGCGGGCTGTCCCCAACCCCTTGTCTTGTGCTTCCCCCAATACCTGCTCTTCACACACTTAACCACACGTGAAGAGCTGCACTCTACCCTGCACCTGGGCTTGATCAGAGTCTGGTCTCTGTGCTTGGAAAGATGGCCTTCTTAATTCTTAGCTGAATATGGCCCTCACAGTGGTAGGACACCCCGAAGCTATTCAAAGAAAAACCACCAGAGGAAACGGCTTCAAATCTAGCTTTACAAGCACAGAGTTTAAAAATAACTCTGCCTTTGTCTGCTATAGATGACTTTCCCTAAAGGGACAGCTGTCCTTAAACCAATTGCTCAATTCTCAGGGCAAACAGATTCTTATTTTTCCTGGTACCCAGCACATGCCTCCAGGAGGGCACCCCCCCCATGCCACCTCCGACAGCATCTGCAATGCAAACACAGAAACATTCAGAATGACTGTCACCATCCCAGATGAGGGGAAACAGCCAGAATGCTGCACCTCAGACCCCTGGAAGCCTGGGCAGGTAGCTCCAGTGTCCACGAAGCACCACTCTCTACCCCTAACATCTTGGCAAGCGCACATGCTCGCATCAAGCTTCCTTGGGTCCCGGGAGTAGTCCACACAGATGGGTGCGTTTCTTTAGATAGTTGACTTGTTCTCTGGTGCAGGAGCTGGGCAGAGGAAATGGGTTGAGATGCACGAAATAGGAAAGAAGGCTGGGGCGCATGGTGGCAGATCGTTGTGGGAATTCCTGAGAATGTTCATGGTGTCATCCCAACACACCTTGAGGTAGACTTCCTGACACATCATTTGTCCGTTTCTGTCTTCATTTGCTTTCAACCAGACAGAGCGCACTAACAGCTCCACGCCACGGAGCACACCTCAGAAGACCCGTGTTGGGCAGAGGGCCAAAAACTCAGTGTTTGGTGACTTCCTCTGCAATGATCTCCTGATTAGATCGGTGACTTAGTTTTATTAGTTAAGAGTGCGTAAGGATGCTCATTAATATACTTTTTTTTTTTTTTTTTTTGTCAACCTAATGGCTCCCAAAAGCCTTTGCACAAAGTTTTACAGGAAGTAAAAAGCACCCATTGGTAGGATAGAACTCTGGATTAAATCCTGATTTTTCTGTTCAACTGAAGCTATGGATGACTGGTTCTTAACGGGGAAAGACTTTATCCCCAGGCCACATTGAGAAGGGACTGGAGGTGGCTTTTACTTGTCACAGCTGGAGGGCAGGTCATCTAGTGTGTAGAGACAGGGATGTCATTAGACGTCCTACAACACACAGGACGGTATCCTATAGGACTTACCCAGTCATACAGCCAAGGTTGAGAAAACCCAGTGGAGACTGAAATTATGCAGTTCCCAGAATGTTCCAGGCTGCATCTGTGCCGTTCCCTTCTGAGGACTTATTTTCCTCAAGATTCACTTGGTACTTCTATTCTGGTCATTCCTGTGAGCTACACGGAATAATCAGGAACGTCGTTCCTTTGCAGTCCGGCTTCCAGTCCGCAGCCGTGGAGCCCACGGCCCTGGGAGCTCCTCCTGTGTGGTCACCGCTACAATGACCAGCATAAAGCAGACCTTTCCCTTTTTAACTTTTCTGTTAAGCCACTGAGCTTTCCTTTCTCTTCAGATAAAGTTTATTGGTATATTTTAGGGATGCATCCATAATGCTCACATTCATTAGACGGAATTTGTACACGTTCATGATACATAACTTGATCCTTTTGCTTTTCCTTTCCTTCAACCCCTTTCATCCCCCCTTTTCTTTTCTCTGGTCAGATTTAGGGCATTAAGTTTTCAATTCAAAGAAGAAAATTATTTGAAGTTTATTTCCATTATTATTATTATTATTATTATTATTATTATTGTGATAATGGGGATGGAACCCTGGATCTTCATATCGAACTATACTCTCAGACCTCTTCTATACAATTATTTTTTCTTAATTTTGAGACAGTCTTACTAAGTCACTAAGTAGCCCAGATGGTGCTTGCGCTAGAAATCCTCCTGCTTCAGCCCCTCAGAGCGCTGCAATTACAGAGTTTTAAATAAAGAGCTTACTTTCAGCCCCTTAGGATGTGTCTCCTGACATAACACAATGACGCCCACTGCTTCCAACAGTGACTGGGGCATCCCAAAGGTTCTGAGAGTGACCGGGCAATACAGACTCTAAAGGACTCTTACAAGTTACTTAAGCTTCAAATTCTGATCCAATAACTTTCAGGCAATCCAGTAACTATTGAGCCAAGCTCCCTTATATTTCCTGGCAGAGGGAGATGACACAATGTACATAATTATTTTGTGAAGATATTAGAGAAGGCAAGGATTCGAATGAAAGTCCAAGTCCACAGACAGAACAGGGTCACAGCCAGTCCAATAACAGAACACTCAGTACCACTCATGTGACCCCTAGACATGTCGCCTCTGATTTTCACAGCAGTCTTACCCAACAGATACTACACCGTCTACCCAAGGAAAGCCAAGGGCCCAAGAGGCGATGTCAGTTTTGAGAGTCATGAAGTTATGAAGAGTCAGGGGCCTCACTGCACAACAACTGAGGCTCTCGTGTCCTCACTCACTAGGGTTCTGCTTCCTTTCCCCGTCTTCCTACTTAGAGAGCACCATGCATTTTCATGCTGTCTGTTTAGGTCACACGGAAGAGTTGCTGCTCAGTTTCTCAGGGGGCGGCTGCAGGAACAGACTGCATTCCATGGAAGCCAGTGAGCTATCATTGAACATGCACTGGAAAGAAGAGGTAAGAGCTTTGAAAGCTCAGAGCTGTCTGGAAGACCGAACCTTAACTCCAATCCTCACATATCAAAGCAAGGGGTTTCTCTTCCTCCTTTATTTCCTCCCAGTTAAATCTCACTCTGTGTGTCACAGAAATTTCTGCAGGAGCTGAGGACATGGAGTTCAATAATCATCCCTAAGACAAGTCTCACTTTGTCCTGCTTTCTGTCTCCTCCTGCGGTGACAGCCCTCTGCTCTGTGACCTTCCTGTCATTCTCCCAGGCTGAATCTTTGTTCCCGATTTCCTGTGCACATGAAATGATCTTCTTTCTTCCTGCTCATTTTGTACTCTGGGGTGCTGAAGACACAAACCCAGGGTTCCCCTGGCTTGAGTCTATCTCTGAGCATTTTGCCATGGGTTTTGAAGCTCTTGTCCCCCACGGTGATGATTCTATGTAGCATTTCAGCATCATTTATAGATGACTATGCAGTCTTTTGGCTGTGATAAAAGTAGATTAGGTATGAAAATGAAAAAAAGGTAAGAGCAGTTTGCTTCATAGGAATAGTAATGAGAGACAGAGAAAGACAGAGACAGAAAGAATGAGTGAGAGAGAGCCTGGTACTAACAGAGGGGACGCTAAGCTTCCTAAGTTAATATAAGAGCCTGCTTTTGGATTTTTGGGTTCTAGTTTTCAATCAAAGACAAAACAAGATGAAAAAATTATCTGCCCTACAGGCTTACTCTCATTTTTTTTTTCTGTTTCAGGCCAGAGAAGAATGAAGTAGGCAAACAAAGCCCTACAGAAAACCTACCCAAATCATCCAGCAAGACCCCAGCAAGACACTATCATCTACATATCAGGGGAAAGAAGGAGAGATAAGAGATAAGATGTATGCTTCAGTCACCTGAATCACAAGCCACAGGGCGGTGCATCTTAACCTACAGCCATTGGAGCAGTTATTCAGAAACCTAAGGGGAGCTGTTTAAAACGCATGTTCCTGGGATCTCACCCCAGACCTGAAAAATCACAGAGTCTGCATTTAGTTGGCACTCCAAGTGAGACATTCAGATGCCTACTGAAGTGGGAAGACACTCCACCAGGGGTGAAGCAGAGGCCCAGTCCAACCTCCCAAGTGTTAGAGCTCATGCCAGAGCCCTTGCCCTCCCCGCCACACACCTCCAGCCCCTCCCCTTTGCTTTCCCTCCCATCTGAAGCCAGAGCCCTAGGAAAGTACCTGGTCTGATGGGGCTCTGCATGCAGTTTGGAGACGGGATGCCGGGGTGAAGGGGTGCTGAGGCCCGGCTGCTGAGGTCCATGACCGAGGGGGCCGTGGAGGCGGCCGGCTGCAGGCCAGGCGGGTGCGGGCTGTGGTCGTGCTGAGATGGGCTGGGGGGGATGCCGTTTTCAGACAGGAATTCCTCCAGGTCCATGTACTCCAATTGGAAAGTATCTCCGTCATAGGGAAGGGTTTTGTCCCATAAGGTGGGCCCCAAGAAGGCCGACTGGGGGACCGTCGGGCTGTTGCTCTCATCATCCAGCTTCTTCTCCTTGTCTTTGTCCTTGCTAAATGCTGTAGAAGAAGGGAAAGTTGGATTAAGAAAGCAAGCAAGCAAACAAGCAAGCAAGAGTTGCTCTTGTATCACCCTTCCCAGCCTCTGTTACAAAGCGACCTCTCTGGCTGCTGTGAACTGTGGATTTGGAGTGAAATAATCAGGCAGGACATGGATCTATGCCTGATTTTCAACTTCTTCCTATTTACCTTGGAAAGAAAGCCCTAGTCCATGGCTGATCTAGGCTAAAAACAAGAGACCGGTCTTCGGGGTATTATCGGAGGAGGTAAGTACTTTAAATCTACAGGGGAAAGATCACCCGCCCTGGCTTTGAAGAAAGCCTTAAATCACCAGGCTTGGTTTCTCTTCCAGATGTGTGTCAGTGGAACAGTACGTGATCATTCAGATTCATAAAAGCAGGGAAATAGATGGTGCTCTCTGCCTTGGTTAAGCCAGTTTCTCCACCCTTCTTTAATACCAGGTATTGTGCACCTAAAATATGCCCGAGTGTTTCCAAACATTATCTCAAAAATATCCCAGTAACCTTGCAAAAAGCAATTAGCCACGTGCCCAAGGAATACATGGAGGGTCTGAAGAACCAGAGAAGAAAACTGAGAATGTCTGAGAGCCACCAGGGCACACCGTATCTCTTAGAAAAGCAGTAAATAAACAGAAGTGCCTTCTCCTTTCTCTCCCCAAACACCTAAGTATTGGTCAATTCACAAAAAGCACACCTCTATGCAGCCCATCCAAAGCAGGGCTACAGGAAAAGGTGAATCATTCTACAACCCAAGGATGGAAGCCTGCAGCTATGTCCTACCTGGAAACAGTGCTCACCAGATTAGGTCTGGGTTTTGCCAATCCTCGTACTCAGGCGTGGGTGAAATCTGGGATTAAGGAATTTGCTTCTAGCTTTTTTTTTTCTCCCCTGAGAGAAACAGCCTCCACTGCAATCCATTCTACCACTCCACAGGTTCATCTGAGAATCTGACTTAAAACACCCACCAACGCACAGCCTGCCGGCAGCCCCGTCCCCCCAAGTGCTGTACCTGGGGGGTGGGGTGGGAGGATTACAATCAGCAGGATGCAACCACAGCACCCCAACTCTCGTAGTGCAACAGGTTGTCCACTTCTAGGAAAGACAGGAAATACTCCCAAGCTCTCGATAGCCTATTAATCTTCCCACACTTTATGCAAGAGCCGCGTGATGTGCAGTCAGGGCCGTGACACCAAAACCACTTCTACCCAGACGACAAACCCGTGTGTGGGGGGATCGACTACGTTTCCCGCTCATCCCACACAACCCACCTCTCCCGCCACAGCCGAGGTTACCGAGGGAGGGAACAAGGTCTGGGACTTACCAAGAAAGGGCTTGCGCCGGAGGAGGCTCCTGCGCGGGTACACGTGAGCCTGCTCCGCTCTCCCCTCCCACCAGGAAAAGCGCGCAGGAAAGTGTCGGCGCCGCGGGGCGTGCGCGTGGCCCTCGGGGACCCCTCCCCCGGCCGGGCCTCAGCGACCTCCACGGCGGGACCCACGCGTGCGGCTCTCACCGGAGAACCCCCATTACGACCCAACACCACAAGCACAACCCCAACGCGGTCAGACCCTCTCCCTCCAGACCCCCTCCCCGGGATTTCTCCTAGCAGCCCTGGCCGCTCCGCCCTCCGCGGGCGCTGCGCCCCGTCCTCCGGAAGGAACCCCGACCTGCCAGCTTTACCTGCCACCTGCGCCGCGCGGGAGCGAACGGGGAGCCCGAGCCAGGTCTCCAGCACTATTTTAAATGATGCTTGGAAAAGACGCCCCGCTTTTTATTGAGGAGGAAGGGGGGAGGGGACGGGTGCACACCCAGACCTCAGCAGCGCAGCGGGGCGCGGAGGGCACACGTTGCAGCCGGCCGGCGGAGGCGCGGCGCGGGGACCCCGGGAGCGCAGCGGGCTCACCGTCGTCCTGGTGGAGGGGGAGCTTCAGCGGGTTTTCCAGCAGAGACCTGAGCACGCCGTAGGGAGGCGGGATAAACGTGGGGTTCAGGGGGAGCTGTCGGGACATTTTCTCCATCGCGATGCACTCAATTTTTTTTTTTCAAGAAAGCTAACCGGTCCCAGAAATGTTGCAGAGCTCTTCCTCCGTCCTTTGCCAAAAGTACTCGCTTTCCAAGCGGTGCAGACAAGGGAAGGAAAAAAAATTTCTTTCTTACTTTTATCTTTCTAAATACATCTGCATACAAAATATTAAAAAAACCGGAAGCAACTTTCGGCTTCCCGGTGCACAGGGTCCCAGGAGAGCGCGCGAAGTGCCTGCAGGGTCCTGGGCAACCGCAAGATGCTGTCACCTGCCTGGAACCCTTCGTCTTGCAAAATGTTCAAAATCGGAAGAAAAAAAAAAAGAAAGAAAGAAATGTAGGCTGCAGAACGGCCTGGAAAGCACGGCGCGGCCCGGCCCCGCGCGCAGTCCCGAGGCGGCGCCGACCCGCCCCACCCCCGCCCGCGCCGGCGGCCGCTGCTCCCCGCGCTCCGCGGCCCGCAGCCCGGCTCAGCGCATCCGGCAGCCCATGTGCCACGGCCCTGACAAGAGTGACGTCAGGGCCCGCACCGAGCGCCGATAGGCGTGTGGGGGCGGGGCCTCCACAGACCACGCCCCGGCCACGCCCCGAGGTCGCTGCTTGTTTAACAGCGTCGCGCGCGCTGATTTTCTGGGACCTTGCGGGGCTGGCGGTGCCAGATATGACCTAGGCTCAGGATTTCCCTCCCCAGGGATAAAAAGAATCATTAATTTATATCAGTAGTTTTTAACCCAAGAATGAAGTAAAGAGTTTGCAAAACCGCGATGTGAAGGCATGGTTTTCCTCTAGCAAGTAAATAGAGCCCATGGGATAATGTTCAGGCTTTAGTCCTGGTCAGAGCAACCCAGATGGCTCTAAAAAGCAGCTGAGTTTGAGAAAGACCGGCTTAGAATGGCTTGAAGGCAAGACTAATCAACAACCCCCTGCCCGGCGAGTTCTAAGTCTTCTTCCTCTCTCGACCTTCACTCCCCACCACCAAAAACAGCCTCTGCCTGGAAGTGGGAGCCAGATGCAAAAGCAGAGGAGCAGAGGCTGGGACTTCCCCATGAGCAGGGCCTGCAAGGGTGGATGCGCACGATTAAAGCACATTTTGTTTCAGCGAGACAGAACGGCCTTTGTGACCCTAGGCTGAGTCCCTGAGGTGGGAGGTGGCACCCTAGTAGGGTGTGTGCTTCTGCCCCATCTCCCCCACCCCCACCCCCACAGAAGCTTAAAAGCATCACTTCTGAAAGTCAGGAACCAGGAGGGCTGCAAAAGGTACAGGACTCATCTGGCAAGGTGATGAGAGCTAGTGCGTTATCTGACCCACGACTGCTATATTCTCATAAGAGGACAGGTACTCTAGTGTCCTCTACATTTCCCCACTTTAAAATCATGACAAAAGTGGAATAGAAGGTTCCAAGGACAGGCGATTGGAACGTTTCAGACTCCAGAAGCCTCAGGCTTTTAGTCAGTGACAGCTGAGCATGTTGTGCACCACTGTACTTATTCTGAGACTGGCTGGACAAAGGGGAACAAAACCTAATTCTAACCTCCGGAACTCATAGTTCGGGATCTGGTGGATACACCAACAGGAAGTGCACTTAAAGGAACAGTAGTAGGTAGCTGTAGGGGGTGTGGACACCACCTGTGGCAGAGGTCCAGGGGTGCATGAGCCAGGTGTGGCAGCAACAGTCTTTCATGAACTTCCCACGTTCTTCAGTGCTTCAGTTCTGTGATCTTGTTTAGTAACAGAAGGGGCTCTCTTGACACTGCCCTTAGGAGAGGCGGACATTATCTCCTTACCTGGATTTCCCAGCATCCCATGAGCCCATACAAGAGGATGGCTGAGCACTTCGTCGTTTTTCACTCAGGACACTTGAAGACATGCCCTACAGGCCCACTCAACTGTGCTTCCTCCCTAGGGCCTGCTTCTGGACAGCAAACTGTCATTAGCTCAAGCCATATGCTTCAAGTAATCATTCCCTTCCCACCTTGCCACAGGTAGCTGGAAGTTACATTTCTCATTGTAAATGGATAATCTGGCATTGTGGTTCATCAACTGGTCTCTTGGAAATTTGGTTCCTGTGAGTCCTCTGGGTTGATCAGTTCTGGATATAGCCCAGACAGAGGTCTAGTCCCTTCAACCGCCTCTCTACCTCACATGTATTTATTTGTGCCTTATCATTACTTCTTGTATAAAGCAAGATATAAATTCATGAAGCAATGGAAAAGCAAACTAGAATTCTGAAGGGGGAAAAGCTATCCTGGCTAATTTACTGTATATGTTTATGAGTATGTGCTTGCAGGGTGTAATAAGTACATTGATTTCATTCATGAGGGCTGGAAGCATGCACACATTGTGTCTTGATATTTGTCACTTTTTCTTCCACAGGGTCTACCCTCTTATTTCCCACCATCTCCTTTTATTTTGCTCTTTATACTATTCATACTTTTGGTCTTTCCTATTGGAGAAACCTGACAACATTCAATCTTTTGGGTCTGATTTACTTCATTTAGTATTAGGGTTCTTAAAGGAACCAATCATTTTTTTACAAATGACTTAAACCCATCATGCCTTACATGGATTAAGTAGTCCTTAGGCTAGCTCCATCGTGTCTTGCGAGTGTAAGACTCTGAAAAAAAAGTAAATAAAATCGAAAGGTACAATAGATACTGTGAAAGGGAAAGAAACGGTTCAAAGGAAAGGAACAACTTAGATAAGGGAAAGGAAAAAAGAAATAAGGAAGAGGAAAAAATTTTCTATGTATATACACACAGGATAGCTTGGATAATTGTACTGCTGACTTGTGGTAATCTACTGAAAGGAGCAGCTAGTGCTTAATTTTTTTCTCTCTCCTTAATTTTTATAACTTGTTTTGACCAATTTTGCATGCTTAGATCTGATAATCTCAACCACTTGAAGACAACAATATGCAATAGCAGGCATTGTTGAATTCTTATTATACTGTGCAGTGAAATTCTGTATCATTTCTAAAGTTTGTTTTGTGTTGTTTTACTATTTTTTTTCTTTTTTAAAAAAAGATGAAAGAAGTTCGCCTATGTGTCCTACTTCAGAGGTATGTCTATTCAGAAATGTTAGGTTATTTATCATTGAATGAGCCTTTGCCCTTACAAGGAATGGTAGCTGGTTACTCAGGGAAGAGAGGGAAAGTAACAGAAGAAAGAATGGACTTCACTGTTCTTCATGTGAGAAGGGAATCCCTCAGACTAATTTTCAGTGGTCATAGGGGGTGGCAAATCAGCATGAAATGGGACCTGTACCTATCCCCAGAGATAAAAGTCCCCTCTGCTGCTCACCCTGTGGCCTTGCCAAACCACCCCCCACCAAGTGTCATATCACTTTGTCCAGAAAACGCCATGAAGACAGCAGTGACTCTAGCTTCCTCTTGTTGTGTCCACTACAAAAACCTAGTGGCTTACAAACCATAGTGATTGCATTCTTACCTATCATTCTGCTTTCAGGCTGAGGCTAAGCTGGAATGCCAGCATGACTTCTCTTTCGGTCCACAGAGTGGCAAAGCCTTTGTCTTTACATTCAACCTCCACGCATGATCTTTCTATAGGTTCTGCCTAGCAGAGAAGTTAAACTTCTTGCATAGTAGTGTGGGGCTGCTAAGAGCCAGCCATCCTAGATAACCCTCAATACATATTGCTTACGAAGCCTTCAATTACCAACATTCCTCTACTACAGTAAGCTACATGGCCAAGCCTTGAGCCAAGAAGAGAAGGAACTATCCTGGGAAGGAAAACTGGTGGTCATAGTTCATGAGGGAGTCAGCAAAATAACACAGAGCTCCATCATCCAGTTCTTTTTATTTTCCCTTGAAAGCAAATGTCAGAGAATGTATCAAATATCCCTAGAACTGAGATCGTCTGGCAATAAGTGCAGGGTATCGCTGGTTGAGTGTATCTCCACTCAATCATTCAATACCAACCCAAAACAATTATGTGTACAACTCTGAGTGGGAGATGAAGATAACTAGACATACTGGGAGTGCATGTCAGATAGCTCACAGTGTGGGTAGGGAGGTGGGACCACAGTCCAGTGTGGAAAGTGATATGTTCTAGAGGGTTATGGGGATTGTGCTGAAGAGACTTGGGTGACACAGAGATTTGTTTAGAGAAGGATCTTTTTTTACAACTGTCCATGGCTTTCCTTGCTTCAAGGCTTTATTGCTGTTCTTCCCTCTTAGAATACCTCTTCTAGCCCCATTGCTGGCTTCTACCTGCATGAACACCATTCCCCTCAGTGTCCTGGTTGGATGGACCTTGCTGATTGCCTTTATTAAACCCTTCTGGTGCCTTTTCCAAGAAGCAGGGACAGCAGAACCTCCTGAGATCTGGAACTGTTCTAAAAAGCATAACTGTTGAAAGAAAGCTTTCTTAGAGTCAGTTGCTTCAAAGATGTTCTTTGCTTTGAAATTCTGGAAATCAGGCTTTTGCCCAGTGAGTGAGTTTCCCCACCCTGTCATTTCTGGAGTGCTAAGGAGGTGGTTAGGTGAGGTGGCCTTTTCTGCAGCCCGGTTGGGGCAGGTGCGAGGCCACTGTCTCGCCCTGGCCCTGCGGGGCTGTGGACAGGTCTTTGCGGTGTGAGTGGTGCTGTGTCTCTGGTTCCCAGGGTAAGGGAGGGAGGTGAAACCTAGTTCAGTGCACAATGCCTGCCCCTGTACCCTCCTGGGGTGGCTGGAGGTGAGCACAGTGCTTTAGGAAGGACTTTGTACACCAGCAAGGTAAAGCTCTGGATGAACCTGTTTGTCCTGTTGCCAGAGAGGGCAGTTTATCCGGGGAATTCATTCAGAAGTGAAAGGCACCCATGCGCCTAACCCAGGGTTGGCCTTGCTTTCCTTCCAGAAGGCTCTAACTCAGCTAAAACTCCAAAAAGGAAAATTTTATTCAATTAGCCTAACCATTGGAGATCCTCAAAACTGACCTCTGGGTGTAGGAGCATGCAAATCAAAAGGAAAAACTGGAAACCTTTGCTGGGAAAGCTAAGCCCTTTTTTTAGGAATGTGCCGCATAAAGGCTACACTTCCCCATTCTTGCCTAAGCCCTGTATTACCTGAGCCAGGTACATGTGCATTTAGAAATCAGAGAATATTAGCAGCCCGGTGTGGTGGCGCACACCTGCAATCCCAGCACTCAGGAGGCGAGACTAAAGGATCCCTATGAGTTCAAGGCCACAAACTACGTAGTGAGACCACATCTCTAAAAACAAAATCAGAGGATTTTAGGATTTATGTAGGTATGATAGAGGGGGAAGCTGAAGGGAAAATATGTAGAGATATCGACAACATAAAACAAGAAGTGGGTCGGCCAAATAGCTCAGCAAATTAAAGCACCTGCAAGCAGGCACAGGGGCCAGGGATTCGATCCTGGGTCTGCCTTGCCCGCCCGCCCTGGGGGCTCGCT